GTGGTGCTGTCTTCATCGTGGTGTGTGGCGCCATCAAAGACCAGAGGGTTGGTGGTGTGCTACTGTCTTCGTCGTGTGGTGTGTGGCATTGTCGAAGGCCAGAAGGTTCTCTTGGAACCCTAATCAGCGAAGAAGAAGGGATCCAACCCGTAGAGTGGGGTCTGGATCAGATCTAGTCAAGCCCACACTTAAATTGTTTTAAGTCCAATCCTAGTTCATCTTCAGACCGGTTCAGGCCGGTTCAATGGTCCAGAGAGCTCAGTCAATCCGGTTCAGTGGTCCAAAGAGCCTAACCGGTTTGGTTCAGCAGTCCAGACCGGTTTTTCAGTCTGGTTCTGTCTTCTAGCAAGTCCAGCCAGTCTAGTTCAGCGGTGCAGAGAGCCCAACTGGTCCGGTTCAATAGTCCAGCCCAATTTTCTGGCCCGATTCAGTATTCCAACAGCTTCTTTTCCTCTGATTCAGTCTTCGCAACTTCCTTTCCTCCAATTCAGTCCTCCAGCAACTTTCTTTCCTCCGGTTCAGCATTGCAGCAGTTCTTGGTTTGCTATTTGCTGCAGTGCTATGGAATCTAAGCAAAATACCAAATCCCTTACTCCATCTTTGCCTCCCTCGACTCTTATCAATGGTCTCATGACCTCTGTTAAACTCAATGGGATCAATTATACTTTGTGGTCTCAATCTGTTCAAGTCTTTCTTCGAGGCAAAAGATTTAAGAAATATTTGGTAAACCCAAGAAAGATACTCCTAGGTATGATCAGTGGGAATAAGAGGACACTCAAGTAATTTTACCCGAACTTATGAGGTGTGCAAGGAGTACTTCCAGCTAGAATAGAGTACTCTGAGTATCGAGGATTATTATTCTCACATTCGGAGAGTCTGTAAGGAGATAAAGATCTACCATTCGTTTACTACTGATCCAGCAGTTTGGTAGAAGCAACATGAGGATATGAATGTTGTTAGATTTTTGGTAGGATTGAAACCTGAAGATGAAGTTATTCATTCTCAGATTTTGGGTGGTTCTAGTCTTCCCTCACTATTTGAGATTTTCTCTCGTGTACAGCATGCTACTTTGTCATCCGCAGGCATCGATCATGGTATCTCCACTGATCGATCAACTTTTGTGATTCCTAGTAGCCATAGTGATGGTCATCAAGGTGGTCGTGGTAGTCGTACAAGAGGTCGTACAGGCCGTAGTGGACCTCATTCCTATACTCACTGAGGCCGTGGAGGGCACACTATTGATTTTTGTTGGGATTTACATGGAAAATCTTCTGGTGCTGCGAATCAGGTTTCCTATCAAGATAACAGCTCTATTGTTGCTTTCATACCTCAGTCAGCCCCACCAGACAATGGGTCGATTACTATTACACGAGAGGAGTATGCTCAGTTCCTGTCCCAGCAACAGGCTGTTCCATCTCCCTCCACTGCTACTTTTGCCCAGTCAAATACTGTTTTCACTTGTTTATTGTCCTCCACTTACAGTCCCTGGATCATAAACTGGCGCTTTTAACCACATGAATGGTGTGTCTGATGTTTTTTCTACTTATCAGTCTGATACTTTCACACGTAGTGTTACTCTTACTAATGGTACTTGTTCTAAAATTTCAGGTCTAGGGACTACTCACTTAAGTCCTGATATGTCCCTATCTTCCGTGTTATATGTTCTTTAGTTTCCTTTTAGTTTACTTTTTATTAGCAAGAATACCCGTTCTCTCAATTGTTCTGTAACCTTTTATCCCTCTTATTGTGTCTTTCAGGATCTCAAGACGAAAAAGAAGATTGATACGGGACATGAAGTTGGTGGCCTATTTACTTTAATTTTGATTCACCTACTCGGGCTCTACAAACCTCGTTGTCTCATTTTCAATGGCATTATCGTCTTGGACATTCCTCTCTCCAGAATCTGAAGCACCAAATTTTCAGTCTTAGTTATGTGTCGTCTTTGTCTTGTGAAGCTTGTCAATTTAGTAAGCATCACTGTGTGTCATTTCAGTCTAGAGTCAATAATCATGTGTCTAGTCCATTTGAGTTAGTACATTTTGATGTATGGAGTTCAATAAAAAATATTTTATCTAATAAATATTCTTATTTTATGTCATTTGTGGATGACTATTCTCGTGTGACTTGGTTGTTTTTTATGAAAGCTCGATCTGAATTATTCTCTATATTTTAGACCTTTCGCAAGGAAATAAAAACTCAGTATGGTTGTCGTTTACATATTTTACGTTCTGATAATATTCGAAAATATGAATTTGATCCTTTTTCAGCTTATTTTAGTAAAACTGACATTATTCATCAGACTTCTTGTGCTTACACCTCTCCATAAAATGGTGTTGCCGAATGTAAAAACCGTCATTTGTTGGAAGTCATCCATACCTTGTTATTTCAAATAAATATTCCCTGATATTTTTAGAGTGATATTGTTCTTACTGTTTGTCATCTTATTAATTGTATGTCATCCTCTTTGTTAAATTGGCAAAATCCATATTCTGTCTTTTTTTCCTAATAAGCCCTTATTTTTTCTAGCTCCTAAAATTTTTGAATGTGTCTGTTATGTTCACAATTTGAGTTTTGAATTTGATAAACTTGACCCTCGAGCTACCAAATGTGTATTTCTTGGATATTCCCACACACAGAAGGGGTATCGTTACTACAGTTCTTCTCTGCGACAATACTTTACTAGTGCCGATATCACGTTTAAGGAATCTGTTCCATATTTTTCAGAACCTTCTCAGCCTTTGGATCTGGACTTTGGGTCATCTCTTGTACCACCATCTCTTCCCTCATCTTCAGATATTTCGTTGTCCATTATATTACAATCTACTTTACCTCTTTGTGTATACTCTCGTCGTCCTTGACCATTGACTGAGGTGCCCATAACGTCTTCCTTGTCGCCTTCTGATCCTGGTCCATCAGGTAATTTAAACTCTTTACATATTGCTCTTCGAAAAGGTACTCGTTCGTGTGTTACTAATCATCCCATTGTTTTTTTTGTTTCATATGATGTCTTATCTCCTGTCTTCTCTTGTTTTACTTCTCAATTATCTACTATATCTATTCCTAAGCATTTACAGGATACATTATCTGATCCGGATTGGAGGAAAGCTATAGAGGATGAGATGGATGTCTTACATCATAATGGGACTTGGGATCTCGTTCTTTTACCTCCTGGTAAACGAACTGTTGGTTGTCGTTGGGTGTATACTGTTAAATTTCATCCGAATGGCTCTGTGGAGGGTCTCAAAGCCCGACTTGTTGTAACAGGTTTTACTCAGATCTATGGTGTTGACTATGAGGAGACTTTCTCTCCTATTGCCAAAATTTTCTCTATTCATATCTTGATTTCTTTAGCTACTAATCTTAATTGGTCCTTGTTTCAGTTAAACGTCAAGAATGTCTTCCTACATGGTGACTTGGTTGAAGAGGTATACATGAAGTAGCCACCTAAGTTTACTGCTCAGGGGGAGTATGGTAAGAGTGTATGTCGGTTAAAGAAATCTTTGTATGGTTTAAAGCAATCATCGAGCACATAGTTTGATAAATTTTCAGATGCAGTTTTAGAGTTTGGTTTTCTTCAATGTCAGACAGACCATTCTATGTTTCATAGACAAACGGATGTTAGATATGTTCTATTAGTGGTCTATGTAGATGATATTGTAATTACTGAAAATAATTCTGAAGAGATTGCCAAATTAAAAATCCTCTTGCAAGATCGATTTCATACTAAGGATTTGAAAAAACTCAAGTATTTCTTGGGAATTAAAGTGACTCAATCTAAACAAGGTATTTGTTTATCACAGAGAAAAAATGTACTTGACATGCTAGAAAAAACAGGTTTGCTGGGTGACAGACCAATTGATGTTCCTATAGATCCGAATCAGAAACTATTGATGGATGATGGTGCACTATTTGAGAATCCAGGTCGATATCGCAGATTTGTTGGGAAGCTTAATTATCTCACTATTATTCGATCGGATATTTTCTATGCAGTTAGTATAGTAATTCAGTTCATTGGGTGTCCGAGAGTACCACATTAGGAGGCAGTTACTCGTATTCTACGATATTTCAAACGAGCTCCTGGACTTGAACTGTTATATCGAGCTAATGGATATCTTAGAATGGAAGGTTTCCTAGATGCTGATTGGACTGACTCTCCTTCTGATCGGAGATCAACCATTGGTTATTGTACTTTCTAAGGAGGTAATGTTGTCTCATGAAAAAGTAAGAAACAATCCGTGATAGCAAAATCCAGTGTTGTGGCTGAGTATAGAGCAATGACGCATACGACGAGTGAGTTGACTTGGCTAGTACACTTTCTACAAGAAATTGAATTTCCAGTTTAACCTCATTTACAGTTGTTCTGTGACAACCAGACAGTTATCCATATCACTGTCAATCCAGTGTTTCATGAGAGAACAAAACATATTGAGGTTGATTGTTACTTTATTCGGGACAAGATAGTAGTTGGAGAGATTACGACTCCATTTATGAAATCTGAAAATCAGCTTGCAGATATGTTTACCAAAACATTAAGTTGTACACGTCTTACAGCGATTTGTTTCAAGCTTGGATTATATGATATATATAGTCCAACTTGAGGGGGAGTGTTAAAAGTATTAGGATAGTATATATAAATTGTTAATAGAGTTAGAGTACTGTGTAAATACAAGAGAGTGTATGTGTAATTTTTATTATTGTGAGTTAACTATAAATACAAGTTATGTTTGAGAGCTAAATTAAGTTTTTAACCACTCTCTCTGTTTCTCCCTAAATATTGTCTCTAATATTATGTTAATCCTCCAAACTTAACAACTTTCATCTTTTCCTATTCCGATATTCTTTCTTTTATCAAGCTGCATATACATTTTCTGATACTCTGTATTGACTTAATTGAATCATGAAAATGGTTACCAAAGCAGAGTGATTCTCAAGCCAAGCACAATACAAAGATAGTTTAATAGTTATGAAGAAGAATGATTCTACACCCAAGCTTCAAATGATCATACAGATGAAAATATCCTGACCTGAGCATCTTGGTCATTAAGCATCAAATGCTTAAGCGTTGCAGGAAAATCCTCATCAAGACAAGTCGAAACGGATATGTGATACAGCTTCAAAACCCCAACCACTGCAACTGTCCTGACGTAACTATTCCCATCTTTCAACCCCAATCGCAATGGATCCACCAAGTACTCCACCAGATTTGCTACGCGAAGCGAACACAAACTCCTCAATGCCAGCCCCCGAATCATGGGGTCTTCATCTTTACAGTCCCGCAGGAGAAAATTAATTGTTAAAAGTGCGAGTTCAGGATTGTACTTCGCATAATTCCCAACATACAAGTAACACATTTTCTTGAGAACAACGTCTGAGGTTGCTGAGCACATCACCATTTCACTAAACACTGATGACACATCAATCCCAATAGTCATGTATGAGATCACCTTCTTAAAGAGCTCTCGCTTTGAATCATCAGCCCCCGGCGCTTGGCTCCCTGCAAGCCTCCGGAGCTGCATTTTCAGGTCTGAAACTTCACCTTTTCTGGGAAAATCGACATTAGGGTTAGGATGCAGAAGATCATTAGAATTAGAGCTATCAAGTGCTCCCTTGCGAGAGAAAGAGAGAGAGAATCTGACCATTTTCTCCATTTCAATATTCTCCAATCACCATTAACTAGAATATGTATACATACACATACACACACTTATGTGTAGATATGTGCAAATATGCATGAATTTGATGATTTATTATAATTTCAAGAACATTCAAACTCTAATTACAGACAATATGTGTGAAAGATCGTGTTTTTTTTTGCTCAATTGAGGATAAATCAAGCTCCATGTATGCAGTGTGGTTGTGTGTGTGGACATGAATTTTTTGGCTAATCTAGGATACTTCAAGCTCTATGTGCCGAGAATGAGTGTAATTTGATTACTTTTTTGGTTAATTTCGGATTAATAGGTTAATCTCTATGGGTCCTTGTTTGTATTGTTTGGCAATTATGGACACTTTTAAGAATCATTCTTGAGTTCTCCGCCAATTATAAGTAGAGAGATAGAGAGACAGGGAATTGTTACCCGGAGGGTTGAGAAGGAGAAGGAGATCGCTGAGATTGAGCTGGAGGAGCCATGACTCTACAGAGAGAGAGAGAGAGAGCTAGGCTAGGGTTATTGTTTTTGTTTGCTCAGGTAGATCTTGTTGAGATTCAGTGGAATCGATCACGGTGCATAGAGATCGTTCAGAAAGCGAAAAGAACGTCCCGAGCAAATCAGGGAACGTTTTTCTTTTGAAAATTACACACATTTCAAGCAAACTTCAAAATTGGATTGGTGTCTTTCGAAAATGTTTTGAAGTTCCACCCATTTATGTCCATTTAATTAAATTATTAAATATATATAAAAAAATAAAAAAAAAATTAATTGAAACGAAATTTCAATGTTATGAGATAATTTATATTATTTTTTGAGATATTTTAATATATTTTTATCAATATCTTTAAAATATTTTGAAGTGTTTTGAGATTTTTTTAGTAATATTTTAAAAATAATTATTATTTTTTATTTTTTTAAAAAAATATTTTTATATTAAAATTATAGATCGAAATAAAATTTTAATTATTATTTATATAATATAGTAGGTTGAAATAAAATTAAATGAATATTTTAAAGGTATCAAAGGAGATGAGTGGTTATGTTATTGCCAGATGATTGACTTTGCTTTGCGGTGGAATTGTGTAGAAAGAATTTTGGATGGTGGGGGAGTAATAGATTTCTAGGGGGAGGGGGGGGGGGGGAGTCATTGAGAGAGGGGCAGCCAATTTTTATCTTGCGCTTTGTTTTTGTCTGTAAAATACCAAAAGTGTCTTTAAATAGCTACACGTGGCATGCACGTGGTAGTTTCCATTTGTGTTTTTTTGACAGAAGTCAGTGTTAAACGACCATATTGAGTCATTATTTAAACTTTGGAGATGAAATTGACAAAATTAAATTTTTAAGGGCCAAAGTACAATGAGTGATAAACTTCAAGAATTCAAATATCACAGTAAATTAAATTAGTAAATTATGTCAGTAAATTAAATCACAATAGTATTGCTCTTAATTAATTGGTCTAACAAGTTCGAATTTACACTCCAAACCCTTTTTCCAGCATCTTGAAATTTTATAAATCAAATTGATAAAAGAGAAAAAGATAGAGTTTGAAGCAATCCGTAGTACATTTTACAGGATAATGGGAGATTAGAGAGAGTTGTAGAGTTTTTTAATGAGGAAAAATGAAAGATAAAGAATTAGAACTTTATTTGTAAACTTTTTGAATTATATTTTCGTAAATGATTAATATTCTCAAATAAGTGAAAATTTAATTTTGGATCCTTTGGAAGTCGGTATATTAAATTAGATATTGTAAAAAAGTACACAAAACAAAATATTTTAAAAAAAAATATACAACTAAGATACAAGAGATGTAAATGCCCATTTTGTAAAATTTTATTTCCTAAAAATTGTAACAAGACATTTATCTTAAGTGCTGAAATTTATGGTCATTTAATTCAAAATTTCTTATCTTTAATACACATTGATTAATGCGTATTTTTTTTAAAAGTAATTTTCTTTTCAAATTATATTTATACATTAAATATTTATTACGATGAGTTTTGTAGGAGAACTTTAATATTCCGTTTATTTTAGGATATATCATTTGTTTGAATTTTAAAATTTGTTAATACCCGAACTCCATAATAGTGTAACAATATACTGTAACAAAGACAGTGTAACAATACACTGTAACAAAAATAGTGTTTATTAATTTTGTGCATGTGGTAACAAATTCAAAACGGAGATGAACTGTTTTGAATGAAATTATATGTTTGACAAAATGTAATAATACAATATTTTGTGTAAATGTCTTATTACATTGTTATTGTTTTACTGTTATGAAGTTCTGTTGTTAATATAATTTGAAAACAAAACCACTTTCTCAAAAAAAAAAAAAATACGCATGAATTAAAGTGCATTAAATATAATTTGAAAACAAAACCACTTCACAAAAAAAATACGCATGAATTAAGGGAGGACATACAAATACGAAATATTAAAGTTTTCTCATAAAACAAGAAAAATGTTAATGTACCACTTTCCAAAAAAATTACACATAGATCAAGGGAGGACAAAAATGATACAAAAAAATTTGAAAATTTCAAATAATATACTTGGATACAAATAAGTATCAAAATTAAGGATTTTTTAACTCTATATTTTTTTTAGTATACTTTTTTATATTTAACACTAATTTAGTGTACCCCTTTTAATTTTTCTTTGAATTTTTGACAGTTGGGTCCCAACTTAAAGTCTGGCGTGAGTGTTAATGAAGCAGCCCTATCCAAAATGATGAGGTTCTTTCTTTTGGGGCTTAGGCCATGTATGAGAACTTACTGGGCCTGGCCCAAGTACCAACACCTCTCATACTAAGTAACAATTTCATAATCGAAAGACTTCTTTGTGTTGTGACTTGTGAGAGTTGTTTGGGACAGTGTCAAGCAACATGTACATGTGTTTTTGGAGAGTGTGCGTTTATATATAAACCATAGGATTATAGAAATAATTATCCAGTTCACTCTCGATTAATCGGAAGTGTTTGGACTAATTTGCACTAATTAACTATCTTATGATTCAATCTACCACCTCACGTATATGAGTTCGACATTTTTCTCTCTACATCAAATAACGACTTCTTACGATGGACCTTTTTGATAGAGATATTTTGATATTTTGAGTTTTTATCATTTAAAAAGCCTTTCTAGATTTGAATTTGCACCTTCAATTAACATTGATCATATGTATTACATACAAAAAGAAAGAGCAGTTTAGTGCACAAGTTCTCACCACCACGGAGTTTGAACTATTCCATAGTTTTTTGCAACATATGATTGTGTAGTCCAAAAATCTCGACCAAAAGAGCACGACCATATGCTATTTTTGTTGTTGTTGTTGTTGTAATGGGGAATTGGCCTTTTCGAATTCATGGTTATGAGTAAATATCTGATACACACAATTAACCATTAATCGTTTGCATCTATAAAACCCAACTTTAATAGATTTTATTATTTTCAAATCTTTTTTAAAATATACTTATCAAATCTATGTGAGAGAGAGAGAGAGAAAGAAAGAAAATTGATATTATGAAAGTAGGCCAAAAAAATTCAAAATCTTAGTTATGTTCAAAAGAAAATTTGAAAAAAAAACACCTAAGGGTGACCTACCGAAGACAAGGATGTATTGTAAACTCAGACAATTTGAATTCGAAATTTGACAACTCTCTTAGAGCTATGTCATGATAAATTTATAATTTATGAATTTTTTAATTCTGATGTAGATGATCTGTTTTTAACTAGATTAAAAAAAAGATTAATTGAGATACGTATAAATTAATTTAAACACCATGACCATAATATATATATATAAAAAAATAAAAAAAAGAGAGAGAGGGAGAAATAAATCTAGGAATAAAAAGGGAAACAGTAATTAAAATAGACTGAGGTCATGATTGAGTTGCGCATGACGAGAGAGCAGGGGTGTCCCCCAACTCATTGGTATGAATTTGAGACACACAATTATTAAATTGATAAGATTATTAAATATGTATAATAAATTATTTATATTAATATTTAATATTTTAAATAAATTTTTTTTTTGATAAATCTTGACACGAACGTGATACAAATAATAATAACACGACATAAAAATGTATGACACAAATAATCTAGTGATGTAACAACACCTCAACTACGGACAAGATTCTTAATCTTCATTTGGACAAGTGTTCAACTACCGTATCACAATTATTTTCTGACGCCTTATCTCCTATTTTCAACCAATCACAATATGACACATATAAAATTTATACATTTTTATTTTTAAAAATCAACGGTCACAAAAAAAAAGTCAATATAAAATCAATGGTCCACAAAAGTGGATGTTGAAGGGCATCAACTTGACTAGGTCAAAGGGAAAGAAAATGTTCCTACCTAACAGGCATTTGAAGATTCCCCATGAGTCGCCCTATCTAGTGAGCAAAAATCCAAGTTTGCAAAGGTGAACTGACCATTCCATTAAGGCTGTAAAATGATCCGAACAGCTTGAACTCAATCTGATTTTGACACATTTAGATTTGCCTTACTGTAAAATATAGATTGATTTTGACTTCACGTGCTCTTCTTTTGAGTGATTCAATTCTACTTTTCTTACAGAATTGTATTCAGACATTATTGTATGGATTTTATTGTATGCATTTCAATTATTTATATGAAATTTGTGAAAGCAATTGATGGTGTTCGGAAATGTTAGTGCAAGTCTAGAATCACAGTCAAATGGTTCAGAGAGGGTGCAAAAGAGGTATATAGACTAAAAATAAATAAAACTGTGAGAGAAAAACTAAAATATGATGTAAGTGGTTCACCTTAGTTGAAAAATTAAGACTACGTCTACTGTAAGAGAATCTCGTACTTCTTAGAGGTGTATATTGCTCGAAGAGGGTTGTTACAGTGGTTCTTTGGCTCAAAGCTTTTATAAGAAATGCTTAGAGAGAACAAGTTTAACAGTATGATTCGTAGTGCAGATAATAAGGAAAATGATGACCATTCACTTTCTGTAGTGTAACAGTGTCATATTTATACAAGTGATCCTTCTAGGGTTTCTTGCGGCTCCTTCTTCCTTTTTGTTGATTTTGTGGGTCTTTCTACTTTTATCCTGTATGGACCTCTGTCATATGACGCCACTGCACTCATAGTCTTTGAGCGGCTACGCACACCAATATTCTCTGTGATAGAGAGTGCGTGTTCGTTATGAGTATCAGAAGTGGTCCCTTTGCCCTCAAGACACGTGACGCGACGAGAATGCTTTAAGATAGATAATGGGCCGAGCTTCTCTATCCCGAGCTGAGTTGGACTTCAAAACTTCAGGTACTGTTGGACTCCATCCTTTGGCCATGGTCTATTCTAAACTTGGCGTGGACAGGCTACGGGCGAGCTATTTGGGTCACTATGCAAATAGAAGCCTTCTGAAATTATCAAGCTTTTGATTATGCCGACTCATACTTGAAATTCCATTATTATCAATAATCAATCATTACATATCA